ACACACACACACACACACACACACACACACACACACACACACACACAGTTAGTGATACTAACCTGCCAACACACTTTTATCACACACTCACTTACTCCAGATAACATACTCACTGTGTCAGTCAGCCAGTCACTCAAAAAAAAAACAGCCTTAATCTATTGTATGTGTTGGTCCAGGTACAAACCGATGGAACCCAGTTTTTTTTAGATGAGCACATTGATCTATGGATCCCTGCAGTCAGGTGATATTTATTTGTATAGCTCAATCTCATAACGTGCCTCTTTAGGCTTTACCAACCTTTTCTTTACCGATTACCTCAACTCAGGCTTCCAGTTCTTTTTCACAATGGTTTTAAAATGTTATTGTCACGGGATTTCACGGATAGGACCCAAACGCAAGACCACAGGAGACAGAGTCCAATGTAACGGATTTTATTTTGAAGGTGTGGAGCCCATGGTCCGACACCGGAGGGCAGGCGGATTGACGGTGTGAGTCCCGTGGCTCGACACCGGAGGGCTGGTAGCTTGACGGTGTGATGTCCCGTGGCTCGACACCGGAGGGCTGGTAGCTCGACGGTGTGATGTCCCGTGGCTCGACACCGGAGGGTAGGCAGATCGACCAGTACGCTACACCCGTAGCAGAGAGATTAGTTCAGGAAGGAACAATGGGGTTCAACTTACGGAACGGCGGTGGAGGCTACCGAGGCAGAAGACAATACGGACTGACAATCCAGGCCTGCAAGACCAGGGTTGATATGCTGCTGGGTAACGAGCCAGATTGTCCGCAGCTGTGCATCCATCAGGGCGGTGGCAATGGGAGGTGTCTGGAGGCAGGCCCGAGAAAACAACACCAAGCACATGGCACAACAAAACAAACAGGGGAAAGACAGACACATGAGGAGAGGAGATTGGGGGGAAACAGAGGTTAACACACAATGGGTCAGACAGGGATCCTGACAGTTATTGTTGGCCTTCAAGGCTTTAAATGGCGCCAAATTATACGAAAGATCTACTAACTACTTATTAGCCTTATTAGACTTCGTACTCTATCACACTCCTCAGCAGCCTCACCACAACGTGCATACTCCCGTGTTAACTTTTGCATTTAAAAGTCTAAAAGTCGGACTTCTTTCTCTTCCTCCAGCATTTTCAGTGCTCCATCCAGGCTTTACAGGACGAGCTCCGAATCCAGCGAGACCTCAACCAGCTCTTCCAGTCCGACTACACCGAGTCTGTTCACCTCGCCAACCAGCCCATCTCCCCTCAGGACATGACGGAGGAGAACTTCCTGCGTCTCCACGGCGAGTATGAGCGGCAGGTGAAAGAGCTCTTCCTCCTGAGGAAGACCGTGGAAGAAATGGAGCTGAGGATAGACACACAGAAACACACGCTAACTGCCAGGTAAAGTGGGAAAACGACTGTTACGTAAGTTGTTCTTGCTGCCAACGTGTGACGTGTGGGCTCTAAATATATTATACTTTCTAACAGGGACGAATCCATAAAGAAGTTGCTGGAAATGTTGCAGAGCAAAGGCCTGTCGTCACGGGCAACCGAGGAGGACCACGAACGAACGAGGCGACTGGCCGATGCTGAGATGACCATCCACCAGCTGGAGGGCCTAATGGAGCAAAGAGACAAGGAGACGCTACAACTCAGAGAGGTGTGTGTGTGTGTGTCTGTATGTGTGACGGGCCAGGGAGGAACCCAAGCATTCCCATGTGTGTGTGTGAGGGTGTGTGTCTTTGTGTACAGCCAGATGTGAGTGTGTGCAAATCAAACTATGTCATATCCAGGCAAAGCCCTTGGTTTCTTCCAGTCTTGGCTCATAGTTCAGTTATAATACAACACAGAAACATCAACACACACACACACACACACACACACACAAATGAACAGGAATGCACACTGTATCCTGTTTTTTCTACTTTGTCTCTCTTCTTGTCTCTCAGCTGTTTTTACTCTCAGTTCATCAAGTCAGTTATACAACAGCCCCCTCTAGTGGAGATATGTTCTTAATGAACAACAAATTATCAAAGATGGACGTTTGTTTATTTCAGTATACAAAATACCTTCGATACATCTTTTCTGGACACATTCATTCAGCAGTATTTTTATTTTCTAAGCAGTAAGTCACTTTTTAAATTCAATGAAGTAACAAGTAAGTGGAATTAAAAAAAATGAAAAAAAATAAACTTCATTGAGATTCAAAAAAGTATAACAGGCATGGAATGAATGAAAATTAAACATTTATTAAACAGTCAATAGATATGAATGGATGTGTGATAAGTATATTTTTACACATAAACTGTTGAGTTGCCTTGTTACAAAAAAGAACTGCCTCCAAATGCACCACAGGCACAGCTGTGAGGGAGAAATGCATTTAAACACACACACACACACAAGAGCAAGTGATGCATAATTACATGTATCATAGGCAGCAAATGACTGAGAAAGAGAGTTATGAAGCAAGATGATGTTCTCTCTGAAAGGGTTTAAAACATAATTAGGAGACACAGTTACAGCTCTCTTAACACATGTTCTGGCCGTTGCTTCACATTGCATCAGTGTGCTGGACACGTTTTTTGACAGTATTTGCCTTCAGACATTGTTAGTGGCAAAGCAGGAAACCCGGAATAAGATTATGCAATATCTGAAGAATAGTTTCCATATGGGTTAAAGTAGAAGTCACTGAAGTAAATAATGAAGTGTCTGTCATGCGGTTGTGTTGCGGACTTCCTGCCGAACTGCTGACACTTTTTTTTTTTTTTGGGACATTGTTCATTTCACTAATTAACAGGATGCGACTTCCTGCAGCTGTTTTTGAAATGTTTCAAAAATGTCCCCAGTGGGGATCGAGCTGATGTGCTGCAGTACAAAGTGAGCCTTCTGTATGGGAGCAAAGGAAGACTGGAAACGCTACAAATTAAATTAGCATTCGGTAGCGATTCAATTCAAGCGAAATGTTTTGCTTAAAAGATTATTTTCTGCCGTACTTTTGTAATGGCTGCATCAGCTCTTATTTTACCTGTAACACTCCCAGGCATATGTGTGTGTGTGTGTGTGTGTGTGTGTGTGTGTGGGTGTACGAGAATGTTTTGTGTGGTCATGAGCATTCATAGCATTCATGCAGCACTCCAAGCCACGCCACCCTGCTATCCCTTTCACATACGTGTGTTTGTGTGCTTCCTGGCTGATGCATTAACCGTCTTTGTCGGCCTCCTAAGTGTGTTTCCTCTAAAAAAAAGCAGTGATGCATACACTGCTACGTCTTCCCCCCCTCTCTCTCGTACTCTTTCCCCCTGTCCCTTCTTTCTCTTTTTGTGCCTTTACATCTACCACTACACTCCCTCTCTTTCTCCCCCCATTTGCTCTCACGTCGTCTGACTAGTGAGTTTTAACATCGCGCAGACGGATCGAATTCCGTTGCATGTAGCTCAAATCAGGGTCGTTAAGTTAGGACTTTGGAGAATCTTTGGAGAATTTAGGCAATTTTAGGAATAGAACTGTAGTGGAAATCTACCAAATTCTTGCAGTATTTTTTGTTAGTGGTTAGCATTTGAAGCCATACGACTGGATTTCTTCATTTGAACGGAATTGTTTGGTTTCATTACGACTTTGTTTTTTTTTTTAGAATCAACAGCATCTTAGATTTGATTTGAACCTGAGGGCTTCAAAACATCTGAGGCTGTCAGATTCCGTCACTCGTTCTCATTTGAGGCTGAAACGGTGTGAGCTTAGTTAGTGGCGTTCCTCCCCGTGTGAAGGATGTGGGATGGACGGATCGACCCAAGGAGGCTGAAAGCCAGCGCCTCTGCGAGAGGGAGACACCTCATTCCCGCCTCTCCCTCCATCCCTATTCCACCTCCTTTCCATGTGTCTCCCTCCTTCCAACCCTCCCCTCCTTTCTCCCCTACACGCCACTACCAACTGTGTTCCTCTCCCTCCTTCCCCGCACCTTCTCTTCGCTCCCATCGCCACTCCGGCCATCCCGTCGTCCTCCCCGCCTCCTGTCCTCCTCACTATCCCTCTTTCGTCGTGGCCTCCTCCGTCCATCCTTCCCTCCATCACTCCCCGTCCTTCCCTGCTCCCGCTCCCCGGCCTACACCGGCCATTCAACCCTCCCTCCATCCCTCTCCGCCGGTCGCTGTCGCCTTCCGTCCCGGCCCGCGACCTTCTCCCCCCTCCTTCCGTCCCCCTCTGTCCCCCTGTCTGTCGCCCGCTGACCATCGAGCTGTCTGTGTCCCTCAGGAGCTGCACAGGAGATACGAAGCAGCTCCAGAATCAACAAAGACCAAGGCCTTGCAGACGGTCATCGAAATGAAGGTAAACAATGTGCTGTTGATTCTTTCATAAACATCAGCTCATATGTAGTTCTCAGATTCTTTTCAAACTCCAAAATATTGATATCAGGTATTTATTATTATTATTAACCAGTGTAACACACTGTTGTTTTTTTAATGTAATGCATCATAATACATAACTTGAAGGTAACACCGTAACGCAGTTAGTGAGTCTGAATTTTTACAGGATGATTTCAGTTGAGAACATCAACCTAAAACTAAAGATCAAGGCAGTAAAATCTGTTAGTAACTCAGTATTAGCTTTCCCTGAGTACAGAAATATGTACGTATACGTTCTATTCCTCATCTCCTCAATCAAACTGATGATACCTTTCATGGTAGCTTTCTTTTGATTGACTGTCCAGCTCTACTCACCTGTCAGAAAAAAGGAGGATAATCATTACGTGGTGATATTTTTGGCCCGGGCACGGTAAATCACGCCCGGTCTTTTGCCGTTTAACATGAGCATGTTGATGCCCTGCCAGGATGCGAAGATCAGCTCGATGGAGCGCGGCCTGAGAGAGCTGGAGGAGGAGGTGAACATGCTCAAGTCCAACGGGGCTCTGAGCAGCGAGGAGAGGGAGGAGGAGATCAAACAGATGGAGGTCTACAGATCCCACTCCAAGTTCATGAAGAATAAGGTGACAGATTCTCACACACACACACTCACACACGCACACACGCACACACACACACACACACACACACTCACACACGCACACACGCACACACACACACCTTTTCTTCTTGTCTCCCCATTTTTTCCCCCCTTTCATGTCAGGAAAGGAAATTTTTGCTTGCTGGGAAATAACTCGACTTTTTTACACTTGACGGATACAACTTTAGTGTCAGGAACAGGAAGGGTTACCGCGGGAGCCACGCTCATTTAAACAAACCAGTACTTCTGTCATGTGGGGAGACGAGACAGTTTGGAAATTCAGTCTGTTTTTTTTCTCTGTTTCCTTCTCTTTGCTTGTTTAAGCTGAAATGTGTTTGTTTTTGTCTCTGGTGTTTTTTTCATGGAAGGAAGTAATTCACAGCTTGTTTTTATTACATCGCCTTTTTCTTTCTTTGATTTCATCATTGTTAGCATGTATTCTTAGAAGTTTATTGTAATACGCCAAATGGCTTACATCATTTTTTTAATATATATACAGCCATCATCAGCATGTTTGCAGTCTTAAAATGTATATAAGACCATGGGTCAACAACCCCCATATGACTTGTTCGACAAAATAAACTATGAACTAAGATAACTACTCTCTGTGCAACAGTGTCCTAGCTCCTCGACATTCAGACTGTTCTACTCGCTGACACGCAGGATGCACAGCGGGTGTCGTTCACGCATTGTTTCAGCATGCGAGGCTTTGGATATGCCATTTGTGGCCCGTGTGCTCTGTGAACTGTGACGGCTGATTTGTTGTGGTCATGGTGACGCCCCTCCTCTCCTGCCAGGTTGAGCAGCTGAAGGAGGAGCTGACTCGCAGCCAATCGGAGAAGGAGGAGCTAAGGCAACGAGCCAATGAGCTCCAGCGGGAGGCGTCCGCAGTAAGAGACATGCCACCGTGTTCGGTTTGCTCTTCCTGTCTTTACTTCTAAATCTCCCGCTCTTTCCGTCTCCCAGGTCGACTGGTTAATGGCTGCCGCTTGAGTAGATTCTCAGTAGAATCCCAGTAGTGTGAGTGTGTGTTCAGACAGCAATAAGCAACTATAACTCAACACAACAATCATTTTCTGTGTGCCGTTTGGGTCATATGAACAGGTTAGGAGGTCTTCACTTCCCATTCTATCTATGACCAACGGCTGTTGCCAGTAATAGTTGTTTAAAAGCAGTCTGAACTGTACAATAACTGAATCCAGCAGGGCTGTGACACAATAATGCATATCTCTAACCTGCTTCTCCTTCTTCTCGCATGAGGTTTCTCTCAAATAGTGACTTGAACTAGTTTGCTGTGGTGTTGGTGTTTAGAGGACTCATTTTCCTGTGTGGTTAGGGTCCATTCTTTTTTTTTCTTAAGTTAAATTCCCTCCCAATCACCTCATTGAGATTGAAGGAACTTTAACTGCCACTTATAGATATTAAACATTTTTCATGTTTTTTGTTATTTTTTTTATCATTTTGGGATAACTGAAAGAATTGACCCTGACCAGCTTGTACAGTACAAGATAAGTATATGAGGAGCACAGCATATGTTTTACTAGGTTTATTATACTGCTCTGACTTTAATGTGCGTCTACCTGTTGTTTGGATTCCAGGTGAGAAATTAGGAAAAATGATAGAAAGACCTCAATGGGAAAATGATACTTGATGGAACTCACAGACACTGTAGCTCTTGTAGGAAGCCACTCACAATTCAATTTACTCACATTTTATTCAATTGAATGTGGATGAGGAGAGCTTTTACAGCTCCTCTCTTTGATGATCTATCAGTACGTACCCTTGAGCAAGGCACTAAACCCCGAACTGGGTGTAATGCCGTGTGTGTGTGTGTGTGTGTGTGTGTGTGTGTGTGTGTTACTCAGATTGAACAAGCAAAGCAGGATCTGGGTCGTAAGGACAGCGAGCTTTTGGCTTTCAGGACCAAACTGGAAACTCTGAACAATCAGTTTTCTGACAGCAAACAACACGTGGACGTACTCAAGGAGTCCCTCACTGCCAAGGAACAGAGAGCCGCTATACTGCAGACCGAGGTACAGTTACTCTTTGACTAGTACTTGTCGCTGTATGTAAAGGTGCTATCGCTTGTTATCACGAGAAAATCGATCTTTGGTTTGTTGATATCCATTTTCCATTCACTTTTAATTACACGTGCACAGGTGGATGCGCTGCGTCTCCGTCTAGAGGAAAAGGAGTCCCTCCTCGCTAAAAAGAGTGGGCAGATATCAGAGCTGACGGAGGAGAAAAGCACTCAGCAGGGCGAGATCAGCGACCTCAAAGACATGCTGGACGTCAAGGAACGCAAAGTCAACGTGCTGCAGAAGAAGGTAAGGAAACACAGAGGTGCTTGATTTCCAAATCAAAGTATTTGGTGGCACATAATGCAAAGTTAAAACCTTTATGATCCTGTTGAAAAAGTCATTGATTAAACGGTGTGAGCGCTACTGTGATGTCATCCCAATTGGATTTCCTCTTGGTAACATTTCGGCGTCCATAGGTGGCACTGTTTTCGTTGTGATGGTGTCTATCGCTGCTCATTTTGAAGACCGTGACAACTTTAATTAAACAGGCTATAGAATATCTAAGACTAAGTATTAATAGTTATCAATACAAAGAGGCTATTTTTATTTAAATGAAAATGTTTAATTGTTGCCTAAAATGGTTATATACATGGAGACGCAAAAATAATTCTCTTTCATTGAAACCTGCATGTACAAGATTATGGTGCTGTCATGTGATACTACAACCACTAGATGGCGCTGTAAGACAGGGTGTAGTTAAGGAGCCGACGCAGACAGACAGGTGAGCAGGCAGGCCGAGGGGCACACAGACAGGCAGCTATACTGGCAGCAAGAGTTACAAATACTTTTTGGATATTCTTGGCCAGTTGTCAATGTGTTTGTGTGTGTGTGTGTGTGTGTTTGTGTGTCTCTATGGTAATGCTGTCAGTTAGATGGATGTGCAGCACTGACCCTCTGTCTTTGCTGTCTGACACACACACACTTAGACACACGAACACTAGTTTGGGATGGATGGGGGAATGAAATGTTCAGACAACTGTTCAGACGCTAACATCCAGCAAATTAAGTGTAAAAATGACAGAAAATCCAGTATACAGTTAAATTATCCCATTACAAGCCATTTTGCCATGAAAATACCCCCCCCCCCCCCCATCTGTGAGCAGATAATTGATGGAGACAATCAAGCAGACAGACCTAAAGCAGGACAGGGAGGGGGAGGAGAGACGCAGAGTGTGTATGAAATCAGATGCATACTAATGAGTTCCTCCTGTTCAATAAATGATGACCTCTGCCGTCTTCAAATAGAATACAGTCCAGCGTCTGAGAGGGAGACAGAGATGCTGCTGACTCCTCTTTTATCTAATCTGCACTTATGATTTCGTAATTTCTTCTCTTTTTGCATGTGGAAAAACTAAAAATACCTTTCTTTCTTCTTTTCCACTTTGTCCCCCTCCTCCTCCTCCATCTTTCCCTTCTCATGTTTTTACCTGTCATTGTGCGTTACTCATGGAGGAAATCACCACGAATGCACGGAATTAATTCTTCTGATCTCCCATCATCCTCTTCTCTTTGTTTTTTCAATGTAATTTTTCATAACATGGATGAAGAGAGGCGTCAGCGGGTTATTGTTTTGTTAACATATTCCGGTACATTATCACACACAATTTTGGAACTAAAATAGGACAAGACAGACAGCGAGTGTGTGCTTGGGTTTGTAAATACTGTATATATGTGTGTGTGTGTATGTGTGCGCCAAGCATCCAGCAGTTGTCAGTTTCAGGAAGTGCAGACGCGATCAAAGAGTCTCTCTGCCTCTCAATGTCAAGTGTGTGTGTGTGTGTGTGCGTGTGTGTGTGTGTGTGTGTGTGTGTGTGTGTGTGTGTGTGTGTGTG